CCACAATCTTCTCTGGCAAGCCTGCTAGCATGGCCAGTGGAGCTACAGTGAAAAGATTCTTGTTTGAACGGGACGGCTCATTCACCTCGGATGGTCGGTGTGATATCCGGACAGATACTGGAATGAATTGGAGCTGCGCATGCTAAGGGGCAAAGGGCTGCTGAAAACAGCTGTTGACACACAATGGGCCTTGTGAGCTTCGAGGGCAAAAGTTCACTGCATCAAGTGAACGTATTCCAATACCAGCATGAGGCTACTCCTGTGGATACCATTCATTTGACAATTTTGACACAAAACGCATTTCTACACAAGCCTCTCTCTCCTAAACCAACCTGAACCCTTGAGAGCCTGGCTATCTTTTGCTGGCGGCGTTGACCCTTCACCATCCAACCGCAGCCTGAAATGTCCGTGCCATTGGAATCCATGGTTTAACTTCTCGAGGTGAGACTGGTTGCACCACTCATCACTCATCCCCCTTCCGATGTTTGACCATAGTTTGACATGGTGACATGGTTTGATCACATGCCCGTCCACCATGCTGCCTCCAAAGGAAAGGAAAGCACCTGAGCTGTTCACTTACACTTACAGCAGCTTGATGCAAGGCGCCTCAAAGATTTCGATATCTGCAGCACAGCAAGTGTATATATATATATAAATATGTAATTACACACACATATATAGTAATATGTATCTACATATATATATATCCCGCCCCATCAGGCCCCCAAAAAGGGTGGCTAGCGATTTCTTACAATTGCTACCCCGCAAGGCAAACACTGCTTACTAGTGCGGAGCTTCTCCCTCAACCGTTCCTCCTATCATTTCTGTTCAATTACAAACTCTGGATCCGGCAATCATCACTCTTGGTCCCACTTTTTGGACCCCAACCTCCCTTGAGAATCTTCCACAATCACCTGCTCGCCAAGAGCATCCAAGGCAATCAACCAAGAGGAAGTGACAAGTGAGAACCCTCAAAGGGTCCAAAAGGCCTAAATTTGCTGAAGCTTCTACACCATTCCAAGTCAGACTTCACAATCCAACAGTTTCACTCTTATTTTTGCCTCCAACGTCCAAGCTGCATCCGTCAGGAGCGAGCTGAAAAAGTGTTTAATTGTGTTGGTTGTGCGTACTGGGAACATCAGGCTACGAAACAGTTTTCATCCCTGTTCAATATCTGTCAAGCTGCCGTCTAGGCACGCCGAACGTCACTTTCAAGACATCCTCGTCCTTTGCTAAGTCCTATCCCATTATGGCTTCCACCTGACAGTCTGTCCATTGGTGGCCTTGTCATCAGGCTGCAATGGCGAGGCGTAAGGCTCCAACGGCACCAGGTCTGAACCTAGGAAGGTGCAGAATCCAAAGCCTCCCAGCCCACAGGATCCCGAGTCATTGGTTCCTTCACCAAAGAGGTGCTGACCAATCTGACCATAGTATGCACCACTGGTACAAGTGGATAGTAACACTGTAGGGCGCTTTGAAACAGGATAAATCAAGAAAAAATGACATCATATCATCATATGACATCATATCACATCGACATCAACATATATATATATATATACATCAACTATACTGGCCCTTTACATCGCTTTACTCGGATCCCCAGCTGATGGTGGTCTCATCCAACCACTGAAGTGCATGGTCGCTCTTGATTTCCAACTCCTCCCTGGCCTGGGAGACGTCAAGCTCCACCAAAATCACTCGGCTACCTCCCTTACCTCCCTTGCCAGATCCAAAATCCTCCCAATCTCACCGCGTGAAAAAAAAACCATTAGCAAGTTGGAACAAATTAATAAATTTACATGATAAACTTATAAACACGCGTTCCATGTGACAATCACAGGACAGACCAAAGCCCAGGAGTCATCAGGAGTCCATCCACTGGGATTCACTGGGACCACAAACCTTCTGAAAGATGTGTGACCTTTCATGCTGGCACCGTGCTGAGGTGACAAGGTTCTTACATGGCACGGCACTTTTTGTTTGAAGCTTGTGCATCTCAAAAACAATCATCATTGAGGAATGTATGAATGCAACATGGCGAAACATTGCATTGTTGCTTGAATTCCATTTCAACGTGACAAGACTGTTGATTAACTGAGGTTGATGGTCGAAACTACTATAGAACGATAGAACGCACATGAATGCACTACGGCTTTGTCATGCTCGACATAGCACCCCAGTCATGTCATGGTGATTCAGCACCCCCTCAGTGTCCAGCAATCGTTCATAGTCAGGACGTTCAAGAAAAGGCAGAGACCTTGGAATCGACATGGCAGCATGGTTGGTCCACACTTGCCCTCTTAAAGTCTCTTAAAGCATGTCTTCACCAGTACCTATCAGAAATATTGCTCTCATATAACATGATATCTCTCTCCCTATATAGAATCGTTCAGTCATGAAGGAATGGCCTAGATGCTGGGGCAACTCATTGATTACAGCGTATAACACCTAGCTTTCAATGCTTGTCAACTAGTGGGTCTGACGAAGCCTTTACCAGTGGAATACCAGCGGTAGGATTTGAAGACGTCAAGAAGCCGTGAGTAGCTCAAGAAGAACTTGAAGGCATTTGGCATGCCTGCCTTAGCCCGGGAACACCACCGGTGAAGAGATGCAGTGGAGATGTGGTGGACAGCAGGCAAGTTGGGCAAATTGCCCAAGTAGCTTTGAACAAAACAGAAAGGGCCAATCAAAGAACGCTTTCACAGCACATTACTCTGACATCATTTAAGGGAATGCCTCACCTTAATGTTGGATCTTGAATCCCGCTGCTTCCATCGCTTCAATTCAGCCATGCAAAGAATCCAAATGTAATGGAAGCCGCTCCCATGACTGAGCCATCATGCACACAGGTCATCTAAAGGGAAGGACTCTTTCCTGATTCAAGAATTAATGCGGGCTTGGAATTCCCCTTATTTCCTCACTCACTTCCACCTGGACCTGCAACTTCTTAAATACCGTTTGATCCAAGGCATTTCTCACGCCACAAACTTCTGCAGCAACAATGGAACGACAACCAAGAGCGCTCTAAATAGTCGGGTGAATTAATGACAATGAATCGGGTAGAATATTGAAGAAACAATCACATTTCAAAACTATGCCTGTATTCTACAGGTTTCTGCAGACGTTTGTCATGCCCAGCTGGTCTACTGTGATCAGTGCGGAGGTCACTAGTCGGTCGCTAGTCACTGTGGTCATTGTCCAAACAAACATGTCGCATGACAAACGCACCTTCGCAAACACAAGTTCAAAATTTACTGCATGGTTCCATCACACAATCTACACCGGCTTCACCAACCAGGCAGTGTCCTCTTTCCAATCATCTCGTACTTCTCCTTCTCGGTCTTGGCGCCCTGCAAGCAGAAACGTACATCAACATACTGAGAGGGTCTCCCATCTGCATCCGTGGCAGCTGGGTCTAGGAGTCTAGCCGTGCTAGTTGCTCCAAACAAGTTCTCCATATGCACTTGTTCATAGACCAAAGGACTAGATGAGACTAGGAGTGGCATTTAAGCCTTGGCAAACACACACATGACAGAACTATACTAAGACTATATAACACAAAGAGAGTGTTGTTGCTTTTCGCCGAGAAAAACTGTCTTGATTGGACGTGGCACACAAACGTAAAAGTGAAAGGAAAAGTCTTATGTGCGGTATAGTGCCATATATACAATATCGTATTGTACATATTGTACATTATACGCGTTATTCTGTATTCACGCTAAATTACAATAGGCTATTGCATACCATTGCTATATATCATTATATATCATTATATATCTACACTTTATGTGCCATGATCAATTTTGCCGCAAAGCAGGTACCTTCAGGCCGGACCAAGGGAGAGCTCCACGCAAGAAGTAGATCAACATGTGCGCAATGGCCTTGCAGCGAACAAATAGGATATTCTGATGCCATTATCAGAGCCTCCAAACCTATAAGTTATAAGCCTATAATACACATACCATACCATCACATACCCCCAAAAAAACAATGAGTATCATGCGTTGAGCAGCTTCTGTGAATCACTCAGAAGTCACACCTTTGATGTGCTTCCATGATGATACTAGAAAGCAGTTATGGCTGACACATCCATCACATCCGTAGCTAGCTAATGAAAGCCAAGGAACAAAAGCTTAGATGACGATAAAAAAGAGTCAGGCTGTGGCCCTTCTGACCAAATATGCGGCCTCCAAGTCATCGCGACGTGTCTGGTTGATGCCCTTGTGCGTGCTCACGGAGCAGTAGCGTGCAGTTCCCACCATGCTGTTTCCATTGCTCTGGCTTACATGTCGCCTGACGAGGTCGCAGCTCAGACCGGCTTCCACAATCTGCAGTCAAACAGAAGTGAATTGGACTGTGTGGCCTGGCCCAGCTGAATTGCAGTTGAAGAAACCCAGGTTCAACAACACGTAAGGATCAATGGGTCGGCCTGCCCCAGTAGGTGTCGCTGAGCCCAAAGTCGATGAGGTGCAAGTGGTGTATCTGATGGAAAGGGAAGAAGCTGCTCACTCGTACTGGGTAGGATCCACACTTTCACACTCGCATCCCAGCACTTGACATGGAAAACAAATGAAAGCAGCAGAATCCAATATGGGCCTTACCGCCCCGTCCGTACATAAAGTTTTCCGGCTTTATATCACGATGTACCACTCCTGCGAAAGGTCAGCTGGCACAAGCATGTGTGAGACAAACGCATACAAACTCTGGTTGATATCAACCCCAACCCGCCTCCAACCCGTTTGCAGGAAACAGATGTTGCCCGAAAAAACAAAAAAGTTAAGCCATGATAAACAGTGAATCTTGATGAAGTAAACACCGTGCATTTCAGAACCTGACCTCACATGCACTGCCGGCTCTATGTATGGTTGCAGTATTTGCAAGCTGAAATTTCAAAAACCTGTTGTACTTGGGACTTTGTTGAGATCTCCCTGAAACCGTAGAGCAGGAAAATCATGGAGAATGAAGAATGGCAAGTGCAATTGCTACGATTGCCGGAGTGCGGAGTCCTTTGGAGTGTAGGTACCTGTGACAGAAGCAGGAGATGTTGTTTTACATGGCGTTCCTGTCTTCGAGGCAATGTCAATCAGACCGGGCCGACCAGGCCTACATATGAGGAAAACCAGAGTCAGAGCGTGAGGAGATGATTTTTAATTTTTAATGGAACTCAATCACTGATGAGGGCTTCTTGGACACAAGAAGCTGCAACATACCACGGATTCCAACTGGTAGATCGGAGAGTCCCTAGCTCGCATGTTCGAAACAGCTGAGAATTCTGCTCGATACGTCTCAAGGCTTGTTCGGCCTCGGCAGGGAGATAAACATGCACACCTCCTGCATCCTTTTACATCTCTTACAAAGGTTTACAAAGCTATCCTTTAACTTTAACATACTTTAACCTCTTTAAGCTGCTGATGTGAGAACCTGCTGCGAGTTGTCACAGAGAGCCATCAAGAAGTTTACTCGACATACTATATATTGCTAAAAATTGCTAACATATCTCAACATGTTTCAAAACACTGCTAAAACGACGCTTGCTGAGCTGAACTTAGGCCGCTGCAATCAGCACCTTAAAGCAGCAACCAACCACTGCCACAGAAACCACATTGTTCCAAAGGCAGTTCATATTCCCTTTTAGGCGACTACTCCATTCCATGGCATCTTTCAACGTCTGGCACTATAGTGTCCTACAATCTGTGCTGAAGCAATCCCCCACCCTTAATTGCTCCAGCTAAAGTCTAAGATCTAAGATCAAGCAATGGCGGAGCTGGCAGAGCTGAAAAATCCACTGAAGTACCCAGGAAGATGAGTGGTTCAATGATTCAATGAGTCTTCCAGTCCGCCCATGTTCAGCCCTCGCTTCAGCCTTCATATTTTTCCATTCCCTCACTTTCACAGCTGTCAGACGCTCTCAGCTTGTCGGTCTCCAAGGGACTACACTGCTTGGTTCCATCTTGCCTTGACACACCTGCAGGGCCAAACACTCTATATCACAGGTCTGGAAACAGGGATGCAGGATGATACAGGATACAATCCGTGGCCGACTGTGTCCAGCCAATTTGCAAGGTCGACAGGAACAGCTTGTGGCTTACACCTGCTTGCAGTTTCGCCTTTGCCAAGAAAGTAACCTAACGAAGACTCACTTACGAGTACCACAAAAGTATGCAAAAGTATACAAAATATGCGAAAGTATACCAAATGTTCAAAAATCGTATACTCTCGTTCTTTTATGTTCTTTTGAAGTTTCGTGCAAGTCTGCAAAACTCTTGTTGCGGTCCTGCAGTACTGCCCAACTCACCGACACATCCTGAAAGCGCGGAGCCTCCATGCATTCTTCCAAAGACCTCAGCGCTTTAGGAGGGGATTCTCTCATCGAGGAGGCCCATGGAAGGAATAAAATATCTGGAAGCAGTGGCTCATGCAATCCCAACATATCCCAACATTCGCAACAGGACCAAAACTTCAAGACGTCCGTATTCAATCTGTTTCAGAGCCAAATATGCCAAATGGATAATGTGTGCAAATTATCGGTCCTTTCTGTAGAGAAAGAAAATGAAATAGATAAAGTGGCCGCCTATATCTGCCTACCTCAAATTGAAACAGCATCAAACACATGCTTCATGCACTGCAAAGCATTCTCAGTGGCTCACTGGCTCTCATCTGTGCAAAGGGCATGATTTTGTTGGAAAGAACTGCCAATCTTGCCGTTATCGACCCGTTCTCGGCACCCCAGCTTGCCCAGAAGGTCCATGACCTTAGCCGAATGTTTCATATCAGTGTTAGGACAATGTTGCTGTGATTCTGCGCAGTGTGTGCGAACAAGGATGTTCTGACAATTCACAACTGGAACTGACCAACTGACCAATTCGGCCTGAGTCATCAGCTGTGTTGCTATATCATGGCAGCTTGAGGTCATTACGGGTGCTTCTGCGATTTTGGTAGAGGCTGAAATGGTCGAAGATGGTTGAAGGAAATTTAAAGAGGCCCTTGCAAACCAAGTCCCAGGCCATGCAAGTGAAAGAGCCAACTTTTCCAAAGAAGAAGACCTGCGTTTGGCATACGGCCGGTCCAGGGCAAACGTAAGGAATTGGTTCCTGGACTCCTTGCATTGGGGTGCCGTGCGCGATGTTCTCAAACACACAACACTGGTAGCTGGCCAAAAAAATGAAACAAATAAGCGTTCCCAAAAGAAACACATATTTTTCCCCACCTGCCAGGTGAGGGTTGTTAGATTTTATGTCAGTTGCCTCCTCGTCCTCCTTCTCCTCCTCCTTCTCCTCCTCCTCCGCCTCTTCTCCTCCTCCTCCTCGTCCTCCTCGTCGTCCTCGTCGTCCTTGCTCAACTGCGACCCGCGATCCACATTGTTCTCTGCCGGACCTCAACCACGACCATCCACGCCCAGTGTTCCCTGCCGGACCTCAACCACGACCATCCACGCCCAGTGTTCCCTGCCGGACCTCAACCACGACCATCTACGCCCAATGTTCCCTGCCGGACCTCAACCACGACCATCCTCGCCCAGTATTCCCTGCCGGACCTCAACCACGACCATCCACGCCCAGTGTTCCCTGCCGGACCTCAACCGCGAGTATCCACGCCAAGTGTTCCCTGCCGGACCTCATGTAGGAAGATATGGGACAAAGAATGTGCAGAAAAAAGTTAGAAAGAATGTCAGAAAGAATGTCAGAAGATATGCCAGAAGATATGCCAGAAGATATGCCAGATAGAATGCCAGATAGAATGCCAGAAGATTTGCCAGATAGAATGCCAGAAAATTTGCCAGAAGATATGCCAGATAGATATGCCAGAAGATATGCCAGAAGATATGCCAGAAGATTTGCCAGAAGATATGTCAGAATATATGCCAGAAGATATGTCAGATAGAATGCCAGAAGATATGTCAGAATATATGCCAGAAGATATGCCAGATAGAATGCCAGAAGATATGTCAGAATATATGCCAGAAGATATGCCAGATAGAATGCCAGATAGAGAAGATGTTAGCCAGATAGAATGCCAGAAGATATGCCAGATAGATATGTCAGAAGATATGCCAGAAGATATGTCATATATGCCAGAAGATATGTCAGATAGAATGCCAGAAGATATGCCAGAAAATATGCCAAATAGAATGTCAGAAGATATGTCAGATAGAATGCCAGAAGATTTGCCAGTAAGAAAATGTATAAATGTCATGGTGGGGATCACACGAAGTAAAGTAATTTTGATTTTTTTGCTGTTGTCTTCTACTGTCTCGGCTCTTGCGCCTCTGCAAAGCCTTGAGGCCTGACCCATACAGGTGATGCTGACAATGAGAAATTCGACGGATTTTGCAATCTCTCACCTCTGCATCCTCTGCAAACTGAAAGAACTCGGTTCAATCCGCCCCGAATAATGCCTTTGATCAGTATTGGAGATTCACACCATGGGATTCCCGGGGATCCCGCTTTGCGAACCCTCATGTAACATCCCGTGCAACACCTCTGAGGCTCGCCGAGCTGCTTCAACAGACTGTTTTCCATCCTGAGTTGCTGAGTTCTGTGCGAATCTGCATATGGAGAACAGTTACAGTTGTTGCTGCAGAGAAGCTTGCTTCAAAAACTGCATAACGATCTTGAAACTGCATAGAACCAACATGTTCTGTTCTCATCTGTTCCGATTATCACGTTAGGACGTTAGATATATCATTTATGATTATGAACTGCATGCCAAACAATTAATATATATATATATATATGTATGTAGAAATTGCGTTCTCTTTATCTTGGCTTTGAGTGATTCACACGACTTTAACGGCTGCACACCTAGCACTTTAGAATCCTGTAAGACTCATTCAAGCAGCACAAGCACAACTATTGAATCCAGCAAGTCTATGTGCACTCTGAGGTATCAAACGCTAAACTCCCTGGGGCACCACATTGGGAGTCCTGGCATGCAAAAACAAAGCAAGGGGTATCATCTTCAGTTGGCTGGTGAAGTATTCTGTCTTGGTGGTACTACCTCTTCGGAGGTGAGTGGCACATACTAGGACCTCGACATCTTTGGGATCATCATCATCATCATCATCATCAAACATTTATTATTTCAAAACATTCAATATAATCTTTCAGTGGGTTGGTACCTTCAACAGTAGAGTTGCAGGTCTAGCTCTATCAAAAATCCGGTTGCCAGCCCAATCCCGCAGGGCAAAGGTGCTAACAAACATTAACAAACTGCCACGCCACACTCCACCCTTGGCCCCCTTCGGCCCTTTTCAACTTTCCTAGGTCCTACAGTAGCAGGGCACCTCGAACTTCACTGCCACTGGAGAGTCTGACTTCTTGTCCTTCCCAAGAAAGACTGCACCAAAGCAGCCCTGGCAGACTCAGGTGATGGAGCAACATCGAAGCACTCTTCGGCACACCAGGACATTCGGTTCTTGCACGATTGGGCCATTTGGGCGATATTTGTGTCAAGCCTCGACACCCCCAATGGGAGTTTCAACCCCTGCCAAAAGTGCATTGGGACCTTTATCCACCATGCATTAATCAAGCATGATCTTGCTACAAGTGCCACAGAATCTGCAAAATCTGCAAGCCTGCCATCCACTGACTTCTGATCGGCAGGCCACCCCTCCACGTAAGCAACAACAAATGCAGATGGCGAGCACGCCTCGCCCAACTTGTCCTGCACCTCAAATCGGCCATCGCCCACCTTGGGCGGGAAATTCTTCTTTGGCATGGCCTGATGGCGCGATGGTGCAACATGCTGAAACTGTTGACAAACATTAACACACTGCGTTTGTAGTTTCCTGATTTGCAAGTTCAATCAAGTTCAGAAGCATCCAAATTGATCTCTCTGCAAGTTAAGTTCGCTCGTCAGTTTAGCCACAGTGTTGTTGAGCCTGCCAGAATGCCATGTCAATGTCGCGATGGACCCTAATTCCCTCAGTAAACCAGGAAACAGAATCATCCCATAAGTAGATGTGTGAAGATTGTGAAGTTTCAAGTAAAAACCATAAAAATGCGACAACCCCAATGCATCCCAATGCCGTTTTGGACGTGTGATGTCTGCGTCAAAGGTGTCAAAGGGATAGAAATGTTCGTCAGCGACAGCGGCTCCAACACTTCAAAATGGCAGCCCCAGTCCTTCACTCAACAATGTCCATGACCCGCTTGGCGATGACTAGGAAACAACACAAATGTTTTTCTCAAGGTTTCTGGGCAAAAGGTGCGACAAATATGTTCCACAACAAAAAACACACTGAATGTCGGACAATGTCGCGTACCAGCGCTCAGTCTTGTGCCATTATGCAAAAATTTGATGGAACTACATGTGCCAGTGTTCTGACGCTACAGCATAGCCAACAGCATCAATTCAACAGCACTCCCCACTACATATCTCCACCACCTTGAGCCAACAAACACGATATCAGTTCCAGAAACACCAACATACACCGACTTTTAAGTACTTGACGGTTGGCAAAATAACAAGGATGCAGGCATGCACAACAAGAATAGAGAGAGAGAGAAAGAGAGTCCATTACCTTGCCGAATATTGCGTGTATTATGTATGCAATCGTAAATTCACAAATCGATAATCACATACATGGATGGACGGATGGATAGATGGATTGATAAACCATGACAATCCGTAACATAAGTGAATATAAGTGATGAAAAACAAATAGGGAATATAACTAGAAATAAATGATTACCAAACAATGATGGTGAATAAGTGAAATGTTCAAACTTGAACATGCGGCGAGAGGTAGCCAAATCCGACACTGTTTTCTAATTTCCATGGCTTTGAATGCTCTCTGTTTTTGGAGTGCGTTGTCCTTTTCTGAGTCGCTAGCACCAGCGCATCATGATATTCTAGCTGGCATATGCTGGCATGCACCATAATTCTTCAACAGCCCTCCCCCTGACACCCTAACATACCTGCGTCAACATTACGCTCCTACATGTTCCTAATACTCTCTACTTGCCAAATGCAAAGTGCCCCAACCGAACGCATTTCGGTTGAGCCATTTTGCAACCACCTGATTGAAACTCTTTCCCTTGGCCTTTCCTTCCTTGTTCTCTTAGCTACATATCGATATATCTATAGTCTATGTGTAAATCTAATATTAGAGAGATATAATATATATAATTATTATACATATATATATATATATATCCCAAAAACAGTCTTAGAATCTGGTAACTTAGGTGCATACATCCATCGAGCAAGAAATGCTTGGGAATCTTAAGGTGCGCATCTTCCATTCCTCGCCAAGACCAGGTCATGTTTTCATGCAGACCTCTTGGGGACATGGAATGCAAGACTCCAAGTGGTTGTTCTCTCGTTCCATTACATTACATTACATTGCATTACATTACATCACATTACGTTACATTATATACATTGCATTACATTACATTACATTACATACGCTACACTACACTGCGCCACATCACACTACACTACATTACATTAGGCGTCATTAGATTAAATTACGTAGGTAAACGGTTAACATTACATGAGGTATCATGAGGTTACATTAATTACATTAGATTCTAGATTGCGTTGGGTTAGATTCCATTAGATTAGGCTGCATTACGTTACACATTGCGTTGCGTTAAATTCAAAACACTCACGGAGAATATCATCTTGTATATGTGTGTGCGTGGGCATGCGAGCCCGTGATCACAGATGAAACCCAGGGTGGACGCAGCGGGGGCTGAGCCCAAGCGAGGGGAAAGGGGGGTTACAGTTCGACATGATTTATCATGTCCAACATAACATAACCAGTTCGACATGAAAGATCATGGCAGCTGCGTCCAGTCTGCCCCCAATTCATTGCTAAAGCAAACATAACTCCAGTTAGCAAGGTAGGTTTCGTGAAATTATCCTAGCCTTTCAGTTCCCAGAGAATGGCCCACCATAGATGGTCATGGCCGTAGCAACATGTTTAAAAATGAGTTGAGGATTATCACCTTTTGGTAGAAATCGCTGCAGCGCTGCACATTTTCCGAAACCAATTTCTTTTGGCGTCAGCCTGCACGGTCAGTTGGTGCAAAGTCAGCTTCCATGCGCTTGAGAGTGCGCAGCATATCTCCCACAAAAGGCATCAAAAGGCACGTGCTACCGGTTAGTTGAATTCAGGCCATATTCCCAAATCCTATAGTTTTGTTCAAAGCTCAACTTTATTGGCAATTGGTTTTCTAATGTGAAGGGACAGACACGGAAGCTGGTGCTTCAACCGCAGGGGCATGGCATACAAGGATCAAGGGGCCAATGGTTCACAGAAAGCCGCGCTCATCAGCACATCGGATTCCAACGCCAAACCGTCAGAAACTTTTGTTTGCATCTATTTTACACCAAATGATATAGGCGAACAATAAAATCATGCCGTGCACATCAACTTGTGCTTACGTGGTGGTTTGGGTTGGTGGTTTGGAAGTCTGGGAATTGATGGTTTTGTAAACTTAGAAAAACAAAAAATATCAAACCCTGCAAACAATGAAATCGTTGAAAATAAAGAAAACAAATTTAAAACAACAATGATTGCTACCAGATTAGGTTTGTTTTTGAATTGATATTCATCTTGTATCTCGGAAAATGTACACTTATTTAATGTCCAATAATTTCACGTGATTGTTTAATTGATTATTGAATTCTAGTGCATTATTCTGTACTTGTCTATTTATTTTTGAAATGGGGGAAAGACAGTTTCTTGAAACCGTGTGGTCCTATCCTGTACTCTGACTGATGCAGGTTTCATGGATTTTCCATGGAGCTTCCATGCAGGTTTCATGTTGGTTACATGCTGGGTTTGCAAATTTAGCTTACTGGTGGGTAACCTCCATGACAACTCCCTGGAACCTGCATGGAATCTGCATGGAACCTCCATGGAACCTGCATCAGTCAGAGTGCATGATAAAACCAACAAGTGTAGATAGAGGCACCACCTCCATAACGCACATGGAAACTGCATGAAATTCTACATCAATTCTCCATGGAACCTGCATGGAACCTCCATGAAAACTGCATCAGTTAGAAGGCGCCATGCAACCATCACGTTTAGACACAAGAAACAACGGTTACCTACATGAAACCTCCATGAAACCTACATCAATTCTCCATGGAACCTGCGTGGATACTCCATCAAGGAAGACGCCATACAATCATCAGGTGTAGATACAGGGAACATGTTCGAGTTTTTTTAATGGAAACTACATGGAAACCATCAGACGCTTTGATGCAAATCGATCGCAAATCGATCGTAACTAAATTGATCGCACAAAAACTGTTATAGCATCTGTGCGTTTTGATGTCGTTTTCACTAGGCCATCTGTCTTTGCTAATGTTTCTTTTGGTTTCTGTACTGGAAAAGTCAAATTCTTCCAGAATTTCTATTTATCCTGAGTGTTCGTTGCTTGGCGGTTTTGATGTTGGCAAGGCCAGGGTTTCAAGTGTGGACTTTGTAATGTGTCATTTTGATGTAGGATTTCGACGTTGTTTTGCGATCATTTTGCGATCCTTTGTCGATCGATTTGACACCGGCCTAAAAACGAATAAGAAGGCCATAAAACAACATCAATATGACATCGACAAGAACCTAAGGCCTGTAGAAAACGGCACTTGCCAATTCATATATTCATATGGTTTGGTGATCATAGAATCCAAGATGACATAAGTGAGTTCATTTCTCTTGGTGGTTTCGTCTTTTAATTAACTTAGTTTGCAATATTATACCTATGTTAGGAACCTCCATCAAGTTGACACCGAGACAGACATAAAACTCCATCAAAATGACATCAAACAAAAATTCACATTTGAAACCTTGCCAAAATCGAAACCACCAAGCAGTGAACACTCAGGATAAATAGAAACTCTGGAAGAAATTGACTTTTCCAGTGCAGAAACAAAAAGGGACATCAACAAAGACAGATGACCTAGTGAAAACGACATCAAAATGCACAGATGCTATGACAGTTTTTGTGCGTTTTTTTACGATCAGTTTACGATCGATTTACGATCGATTTGCGATCAATTTGCGTCAAAGCGTCTGATGGTTTCCACGTAGTGTCCACTAAAAAAAAAGTCTCTGTTCCCTGTATCTACACCTGGTGCTTGTATGGCGCTTCTTTGATGGAGTATCCATGCAGGTTCCATGGAGAATTGATGTAGGTTTCATGGAGGTTTCATGTAGGTTCCGTTGTTTCTTGTGTCTAAACGTGATGGTTGCATGGCGCCTTCTAACTGATGCAGTTTTCATGGAGGTTCCATGCAGGTTCCATGGAGAATTGATGTAGATTTCATGCAGTTTCCATGTGCGTTATGGAGGTGATGCCTCTATCTACACTTGTTGGTTTTACCATGCACTCTGCCTGATGCAGGTTCCATGGAGGTTCCATGCAGATTCCATGCAGGTTCGAGGGAGTTGTCATGGAGGTTACACACCAGTAAGCTAAATCAGCAAACCCAGCATGTAACCAACATGAAACCTGCATGGAAACTGCATGGAAACTCCATGGAAACTCCATGAAACCTGCATCAGTCAGAGTACTGTACAGGATAGGACCGCAATGGAATTTGTTTCAAGAGAAACTGTTTTTTTTCTCTGCTTTGCTTTCATGTAGATTATTTAGATAGAATAGATAGGTAAGGTCACTTGGATAGAGTAGGCATATTAGATAGATCAGATAGAAAAGGTAGACTAGGTGGATTAGATAGATTAGATAGGTTAATAGACAGACTTGAAAGATTAGAGAGGTTGGATTAGATTAGCTTAGATTAGATTAGATAAGATCAGAGAAGATTAGACTAGTTTGATAGACAAATAGA